TTTCAAAAAGTGGCATTTTTATAAAAATTTCAAAAATGTGATATTTTTGTAAAGTGCTATTTTTTGAAATTTCTCATGAGAAACGTTTGTTTTTCATGGTAAAATCCAGCAAAGAATGCATTCTTATATGATCCCTCTCTTTTGCTTTTTGCAGCAAATTCCACCACAACAGAGAGACCATGAAAACTCGTGATATTGTCGGGATAACCGTCGTAATTTGTTTTATTTGTGTTTATGTTTGTGATATCGTCTGTCAAAAAAAGAATAAGGATGGAACTACTGGCAATAACGTAGAGAATAACAGAGATGGTGGCTTTGTGACTTTGCCAGTGGCTACGGGTGTCTCCTCCGGTGATTACGGTGGTGGTTATGGTGGACACGGCGGAGGATGCGGTGGTGGAGGATGTGGATAACAATTATGTTTAAAATTATGATGCCATCAGTTAGGTCCCTCATAAATTTGTTTATATTGTTCTTGGGATTTTGTCTTTTGTGTTAGTTTCTATTGATTTTTTTTTTTTTATCAGAGCTAATTTTTATTACAAAAGACAATAGTATATGTTTTTTAACCAATTAACGATATAGTCGAATGGTTGAAAAGTTCATCGTGTCATTAGAAGATCAGCATTTGAATCATCTCATTACGATTTTAATGATCGCGCGTTGGCTATTTTTCATTTACAACAAGAATATTATAGTTGGAATCCTCAAGTGACGTCAAAGTCCATAAGAGTTAGAACAAAAAAAAGTTCAATACTTGGAATCCGATTAAGGATTGTGTCTTTGATTTCAGTAAAGTTGCTTTCGATAGATGAATAATAATCGAAGAAAGTCATCAGAATGCGTTGATAATCAATTTGAGGGTAACTTTTTGTGGACTATATGAAAAAATTATAATCTTTAAGCGTAAATTATGAACTTGTATTTAGGTTTTTGGTTATAGTCTAATAGAAGCATAAGCATAAAATAGTTTGTTTTGTGATAATTTAACTTCAATTTTTTTGTTTCCTCAAATTTTAAACAAACTAAAATTTGGTTGTAAGAAATTATATGAACTCACTGAGAAATATATGTAAGTAATTGAAAGAAAAATAAAGCATATAGTTGAAGAATGTTATTGTACTTTTTGGTTGTAAGAAAACAACGAAATAAAAACAGCTCAAAAGTTTCGAGTAATCTAGGGGGCGATTGGGGTGGATTTTAAAAACAGTCACTTTATTTTAAAATTTTTAAAACCTAAATTTTTCCAATCTCACTTTAATTTTCCTAAATTCACTCACAACTCCTAAAATTTTTCACAGCCAATATCTTTTTTCTCTTCTAC